AAAAATTAAATGACCACAAACAAACCATTACGACTCACAGAGTAGTATTCGCAAACTGCGCACAACGGCATCACTTGAAGTATTGCAACCATTGCAACCACGATTACTTTCACTCTGCAAGACAACGGCTTACAAGCGAAATTGCGTGTGTACATAGCGTTGCCTGGAGCGTCGTAGGGCGATTTCATATGCTCTTCCCAGGAATGGATGTAGAATCCTGCTGATTGGGTTCCGCATGATGAACTCGTCCAAGGCGTCGACCCACTGCTGAGAGGGTCTCTGTTCAGGGTGTTCTCAAGGTTTTTCGCTTCTTTCTCTATTGGGGAGGCACTTGTGGGCTACTGGTTCATGACTTCCTTGAAGCTATCATACCTGGTTTTTCTTGATGGAAGAACGTTCTAATGCTCAAACCACGATGACCGCATCTTTCTGCCCCTTTCCCTATAAGTATAATGTCCCTGTTTGTCACAAGTGTTTACACTACTCATTCTCAACATCTCCATCTCTCAACCAGTTGTTCACCTTTTTAGTGCTACGTAGTTATCAGTCGTTATTATCTCTCACCACCCACTATTATACCTTCCCCCTCGCGGCTGCTATCACCTCCAGAGGAAACTTCTATACAGCTCACGCAAAGGTGGTCAACGAAGTGGCATACACTCCTTATCTCTGAGACGGAGTAGGCGTGGCAAATGAACACGGCCTAGAATAGGTTACCGGTGAGATATTGCAATTTGAGACGACTGTCATCTTGTTCAGTGTTGGACACAGGTGTGACTAGGATTGTGTCATAATGGAAATATCTCTTCAAACACAGCCACCGCCACGTTTAGAATTACGCAGCCACGCCTACCACATATCAGGGATTTCGAAGGCACATAGAGTAACGGTGGATAGACAAATGAAAACAGTAATCAATCGGGTAATTATTGTCCGGTATTGTACTCTTATCACCCTTTACCACATAAGATGGCAATGATGTCCTTCTGCGATCGTCTCTATTTCACTAAATAGTTAGAAGCAGTGACAAAAAAAGTTTTCACGGCCTCTGAAGGTCGCATTACAGTTTTGACGTGATCATTGATCTTCAAATGAATAAATTATCTAATACAGTTGATGTCGTCGCAGTCAGTCGGGAGATGTCAAGAGAGATGGGATGAGTCCACCCGAGGCGTTTCTACCAGGAGCGTTAGCTAACCGACATCTATTGGTGGAAAAGACAGCAAGGATCGGGCTCATTCCGTCAACTGTCAAAAACTACAATGAGACCCTATTTGTATCAAGCGAGAGACATGGAATCGACGTGGGTACCGTGCGAGAGACCAGACAAAGGAGCGAGAGCATATAAACGAGCAAGGCAGAAGGCAAGACATCTACAATCACATCGCGGAGTCACTTGAGCAACATTCTATCTTACCACCGCTACCCAACCTTTTTCTGAAGTGAAACCTGCACAGGGCTGCTCGTTGCACTCCACACTAGGTCTCCACACGAAGAGCTTGAATAATTATATGTGATCGCGAGCTATGCCTTCAAGGCAATTTGGCAAGACCTAACGTTCTGGGCTCCTCCTTTACACAAATCGCCCACTTACAAATTGTTGAGATGTGGTAATCTATTTTTGATAATAGGCCTTTCCGCCTTAAAAATACAGTGAGACTAATGAAAAAGCTGATCAATGAGCACTGAACACATTTTTGCAGCCGTGGCAGGAACAAGTTGCTTCCGCAATTACTCGCAAGCTATACTCGAAATCCCTGAGATCGGGTAGGCGTGGCTGCGTACTTGATTTTAAAATGGCGGCGGCCCAGGTTTTCGTGAGATATTGTCATTTTGGAGCAGTCGTAATCATGTCTACATCTAACACAGAACAAGATAGCAGTTGTTTCAAATTGAAGTATCCCACGAGAAACCCGTCCTATGCCATGCTCAAAAGCCACGCCTACTCCGTCTCAGGGATAAGGAGTGTATGTAACATGTACTCCTATTTAGCGGCTCCTCAGTATTTCTTTCGAATATTATATTAGTTTGAAAGCCTTTGTATTATTCCAGTCCTCTACTTATTTTTATTCTCTTTCAAATTTTCATGGTTCGATAGTATATATTTACAGAAGTTCAGTAGATGACGGCCGCTTTATTTCTCGCCCCTACACACCAACAAAAGTCACTCGATCCCTGTTTGAGGTACCTATAAAGGTAAACCACCGTGGTATTTTTTGATTACATCGTCTGTATCGCTCGTGGAAGGAACGCTAACTATCACTCTACAGATAGTATCTGATGGACGACTCTCATTGCACATTCGTCATTGGAAAGTGGGAGACGAAATTGAATGGCGTGGCCCTTATGGTGGAGATGTGATCTGGAGCAACCATAAGGTCCGCTTCTTGGTAATTTCTTTATTTCTTCAGAGGCTTGGACAATCACTTGGATATTTCAGGTAACCAGACTTCTTCTGGTAGCCGGTGGTGTCGGCATTGCACCCTTCATTCGCGTTCTTGACGAGCTGTTGAAAAATGAAGAGACCGAAATCAGGATTCGGCTAGTGTACTGCGTCCGTCACGGATCTGACATTCTTTTCAAAGAACTGCTCTCCCAATGGGCCCATCACTGGAACGTGGAAATTATCATTTTCGGGGCTAATGTGGAGGTCAGTACAGAGGA